TTAAGAATTTTGTGTGGCAAGTCTGTGTATCTTTCCCAGTTTGAACCCCTAAAAATAAACAGGTAAGAGCTCCTGTTAGACAAAATGATAACAAATGACACAGAAAAAGATCTCAACAGAAATGAGGCAGAGAAGATTGGATGGTAGAACAGCAATTTTGGAGAAAAGAAGACATCATAATAGCTAGTGCTGATTTAGTATCATCTTGTTTTGAAGTCCCATCAAGCTTGTATTCTTCTGTCTCCATCGGTATTAACAGGTTGTATCTTATAGGATTTCATTATATGTGATAATATAAGCAAAAACTTTTATAGACAAGGAGATTATACAGAAACCATGGTTCATTTTCTATTAGTTGGTTCTAAATACCCTGTAATAATGTCATTCTCTTGAATGGTTTTACAGTGTCTTGATATGTTTGGTGTTACAGTATACGAAGTTATATTCAAAGATTTCAAGGAAAGAGTCACTATGGTAACTATTTTTATGTCAGGATATCTTGAGGTGAAACACTATTTTGCTTAAATGGTTATGTTTTGACCTGTACTGTCCTGTTGTTATGCCCTCTTTTATCTCAATCCCTCTTTTTAAAAACTTATTTACTTCTTTATTTTTATCTTTTTAATTAAGGGAAAATAAATAAAAAATAGCAGGATACATTATAGTAACCTACTTTGATTTCCTACTTTTATTTCCTTGATTTGAAACCCTGTATTGCCCTCACCATCTTGCTTTGACTGATTTCCCCCTATTCTGCTTTTCTAGATAGTACCAAGTTCAAAAGTATAGGCAACAACTGTGAAGACAATAAGATTCATTATGATGCCCATTCTGGTTGACTATTATCTTCTTTTAAAGTCCTGTAAAGTCTCCAATGTTTTGATTGTATTCTCTACTGTTTTGTTCAATTTTATTATAACTGATGATATAGTCAATTCTTCTTAAGATAGCAAGAGGCAGTGTGGTAACCACTGTTGATCACCTTGTATTTTGTTTTTACATTATCTATTATGTCCATCCTTTTGATTTGACTGATTCTGTTCTGATATGTTGCATTTGGTTTTACTCTCTTCAAAAAAAGTAATAAGAACTGTGGAAGTAATAAAACGCAAAATGTGTAATTGTCATTGTACAAAAGAAAAGAAAAGAAGGTGCTGTGAAGTTTATAACTGCATATATGTTTGAGTGTATAAGATAGATAACCATATTACTGAGTTGTTTTGGATCACTGAACAAAACTGTTTGCACTCTCACTGTTTGAAAGTCCACTTTATATGCTTTAATTTTGTAACTTGAACAACTGTTTCTAAGATGAGAATATGTAATCTATTAACTAGTGATTTCTTACTGTTTAGTTTTTAAATTTTGTATTCCTTGTACCCTTTCTCTGTTTTTTTCTCCTTAAATAAAAAAAATTTGCTAAAAAAAGAGCGTGTGTTATTTATCCTCTCTCTCATCCCCTTTTCAGCCTGAGTATTGAGGATGCCTGCCAGGAAAGTGTATACCTGGTGAAGGAAAGCTTATATAGATGAAAATATCACTTTCTGGACAGACGTAGTACTCTTATATCTTAATTATGAATGGCAGAAAACAAACTTTCTGTGTGTATCTTTGAAAGAAAATGTCATTTGATATCGCAATAAACTCATAATCATAACATTGTGAAGTTAGCAAGGCTCATGATTTTTATGGAGACTTAAAAACATGAATGCCTGATGATTTATGGGAGCAGCCCGGCCACAAAGGATTTTGGGTGTTGTCTCAAATTCCCTCAGTGGTGGACAAAATGGTTTAGTTCAGTTAAAAGGTTACTTGGGAAATGAGTTCACCTCCAGGGTAAAAAATATTTAGCATTTAAAGCGTTATTAGTTCTGGTGATAGGACACATTTGAGATGATTGTTAATCTCTGTTTCAAATAGAGTAGCTTATCAGAAGTTAATGTAAATTTTCCTTTCTCATCTTTCATCCAGGAAACAAAGGTAAATATTATATTTAACCATGATCCAAGGAGCTAAGTGTTAGTTCCTTTTATTTAATACAAATGCAATTCTATAACTGCATCTTTAGCACTCAGAAGTAACACTTATTTACACAGCTTTTTTGGGGGGTGGGGAAGATACACGTCATTGAACTCAGAACTTTACTAAATATGATTAAAGTATGGTTGGATAGTACACTACTAAAGAGTATAGTTCTGTCTTAAATTTAAGTCATACCTTGCCAGACATGCAATGTACCTTTGAGCTAAATCTGTATGTCTGACAAAATTTTAAAAAATAATTTTAATATATTAAGTTTCAAAAGGCTGTTCTGGATGGACGTTTCCTAATTTTAATTATGACAAGGTCAAATAAGCTCAAAATGGAAAGGACATTTTCTAAAGTGAGGTCGTATATTCAATATTACCATTTTTGCAACTCTCAGCATTTTAACTCTCACTTCTTATTCAATGATTACTATCTGTGAGTGTATATTTAAGCATTGTGTTTACAATAAGCCCAGGAGTGTTATCTAAGTGCAGCACAACTTTACACAATTATTGAGCAGAACCCTGAATGGGTATTATGGAAAGGGAGGCCTTGATTGTTGTGCTTTTTGTTCCTGCACAAGTGTTTAGTTTGAGATAAAGAGAAACAAATTAAATATGACTAAAGTATGGTTGGCTAGTACACTATTAAAGAGTATAGTTCTGTCTTAAATTTAAGTCATGCCTTAATAATGTCTTAATTACATACTAATTTCTAAACATCATAGAAACAATTATAGAACATTTTTGAAAGGATGTGCTACCAATTTTTTCCTTTTTGTTTTGTACTGATATATTTATATATGTAAATTACTGTTATATCTTTTCATGTGATGTTTGTATACATGTGTAAATCACATAAATCTCAAATCAGAGTATGTTTAGTTCCTCAAGTATTTATTATACTTTCAGATTAAACCTTTAAAATATTTCTTTTACTTTACTTTTAAAAAATAATGGTATGGGGACGGGGACTTAGCTTAGCAGCATAAGTGCCTGTCTGGCAAGTGTGATGTTGTAAGTTCAATCTCCATTCCAAAAATAAAAAATAAAAAAAGAATAAAAAATAATGGTAGCATACCATGTTCTATAGTTGCATTTCAAGTACCAGCTCAGCAATTTTTAATCCTAACTACATAAGACTTAGTTTCCATTAATCTAATTCACATAATCACCACCAACATTTTCTCTCTTGTGTGATTTCAAGTTGTAGTGTCTCACAACCAAATTTCATCTAGGGAGTTATGAATTATGAATGTCTATTTAAACAGTGTAAATATCATTTGACACTCCCTTAATATTATGTCTGGAATTTTGTAGATGATTAAAGGAATTTATATATAGCTTTCCTTTCATTCCAGAAAATCATTAAGGTGCTCTGTTTTCCATGCACTCCTATCATTTCTCTGTGTGCATAGGTGTGTGTGTGTGTGTGTGTGTGTGTGTGTGTGTGTGTGTGTATGTGTGTGTGATAATACTGGACACTCAATCTAAGGCTTTTATGAAGCTCTTTATGGTTTTAAATTACAACACACATTTCCCCCTATGTTATTCTGCCTGGGTTTTACTGAAGATCTTAATCCTCAATCTCCCAGATTGTTGGGACTGCAGCTGTGTCATGGTATACCTGGTGTTTGTGTCTATGTATTATTCAAACCCCTTTTAGGATCAGTTATATGTGAATCTCCCAGTGTGGTTAGTCCCTGCTTTTAAAATAATATATAACATATATGCTATGTGCTATGTAGTACATCACAGAAGCACTGAGATGAATTGCTGTGTCTGCAAGAGTGAAAGAGGTCACAATGATTTGTAAATGCTCCATCTCTAATCCCACATCTCCAGCAAACAAAAAATCACACAGGTAAGGCATGTTCAATCTTTATCTGGAGATGAGGTCAATAGATTGGCTGGGACCCGATGTTATTCCTTGGGGACAATTGTAGTCATATTGACCAATTCCACTCATTTATAATTTATATGTTAAATTGATGAGTCCAATTTTGGGGAACACTACATTGTCTTTACAAAGTATTGATCATTCAAAAAATGTAACATATAACTCCAGAAGAAGAAACATATTGAGATAAATGATCACACATAGTCAGATGTATAAAAATGTGCAAATCAAGGAAAAGACTGAATGGAACACAAATGTAGGAAAAAGCAAGAATTAGTGAGGGCATGAGCTATTTAGTGCAATCACAGAAATCAGTTTTGGTTGACACTCTTTTCATACCATACATGCACAATTCAAATCTGTATGTTCTGGTCATAGATGTTAGCTGTATCTGGGAAATGTAGAGCTTTCCAAAAAGAAAGGAGAACTTTGAGGTCATTCATCTGTATTAAAACAGCTTGATAAAATTTGAAACTTCTAATTTTGTAGTTCTGGGGCTGGGAGTACAGTTCAGCAGCATATGTACCTGCCTGGCAGGTGCAAAGATCTGAGTTCAATTCCTTGTATTCTCCCCCAAAACCCCAGATATTAGTTTTATAGTTCTTACATTAAAGAGCAAATAAAATTTGATATTGAAATATTTCATATTTCATAATTAGTGTATTGGTACTTCTTAAAAATAGAGAAACAAGCCATATAGTAATCATAAACTAGGAAGAAATAAAATAAAAATTGACCTTACTGATACATAAGAATTCTTAAATATCTTATAAAATATTTATTTAATATGATTAATTTAAATTGAAAATACTAAGGTCTATGTTGTGTGAAGTAGAAATCATGGTAAATTAATGAAATTAGTTATAGATATCCTGAATATTAATTCAGGGTTTGAGTTTTTAAGAATTCAAATAACAGTAACATTTAAAAAATGTACCTCATCACAAATAAAATTTCTCTTTGAAGGGAAAAAGAAAAATGATCTAACATGGGACTATATTAATGATTAAGAATAGAGAACAATCAGCTTATTTTTCATTCTGATATGGAATGGGGAAATGGGGAAATCACTATGTGTAAGATTTTTGTATTAAAAATGATTAATGAAAGTCAAGGCTGATGATATGACTTGAGCTTCTGATGATGTTCACAGATGACAAATGAAGAGATACATGCACATCACAATGATTCCATGGCACATCACTTTATACTGTTGGGATTTTCTGACCTTCCAAAGCTGCAGGGGTTTCTGTCTGGGGTATTCGCCATCATGTACTTGGCTGTGCTCACTGGAAACAGTCTCATAATTATAATAATAAGGCTGGATCCTATACTACAGAGACCCATGTATTTTTTCCTGGCAAATTTTTCTTCTTTGGAAATCTGTTATGTTTCAGTCACTCTTCCTAGGGTTCTGTTCAACATTTGGACTCAAGAGAGAACTATTTCTAGGGTTTCTTGTGCCACACAACTCTGCTTTTTTCTTATACTGGGAAACACTGAGTGTTTCCTGCTGGCCGTGATGTCCTACGACCGCTATGTGGCCATATGTAACCCTCTGCACTATGGTCTCATTATGAACCCAAAGAAGTGTGCTCAGCTGGCTGCTGGCTCCTGGCTTGGTGGAATCCCAGTGCAGATAGGGCAAACATGCCAGATATTCTCTCTGCATTTCTGCAATTCCAACCAAATCAACCACTTCTTCTGTGACATCCCTCCCATTCTCCAGCTGGCCTGTGGGGACACATCTGCTCATGAGGCATCTGTCTATGTGGTAGTCATGTTGGTTGCTGCAGTCCCTTTTATGCTGATCCTTGCCTCTTACAGCAAAATCATTTCCACCATTCTGAGGTTGCCAACAGCCAAAGGACGGACCAAGGCCTTCTCCACATGCTCTTCTCACCTGTTGGTTGTGGTTTTATTTTTTGGATCTGCTACCATTACTTATTTCAGGCCCAAATCCAGCCATTCTGCAGGAACTGACAAGCTGCTGTCTCTTGTCTACACTGTGGTGACTCCCATGCTCAATCCTCTGATATACAGCCTCAGGAACAAAGATGTGATTGCTTCATTGAAAAAAATTATTTCACAAAGCACAGCATCACGGTTCTCCTTGATATGTTAGTCATGTAGTTATCCCAGAAACAATTTGTAGTATGTTTTTATTACATCTACATATTGGCTTGCAATTTATTATGCTTAGATGTGGACCAGGTTCATTCCGCTGTCTTCAGTAAGCCATGCTTCAACATAGTTTCTTTTAAATTATAATAAATGATGCACACATCAGTTTCTCCTTGTAAATAAATAAATTAAAAATACTGTGTTCTAGATTCAATTTAATGGTGATTCTGTCCTAAATGTCCATGCTGTATATGTATTTTCTGACATTTTGTTTTAATCTATAGTGCATAAAACAGTAGTAACCAATAGTCATTCAACAACTAATGCTTTTTGTGTGAATAATTCACTGTATGAGTAGATACCAGAATGAATCCTGGAGAAATATACAGATATTATAGAATCATCATTAAAATGTTTATTTAAATAAATGTGTGGGAACATGCATTTTTTGAGATTGATGCTAGGAGAAGAAGTTCCATCTGTTAGCCATCCACCTAATAATTCCCTGGGAGGACACATGACACAAAGCAATGCAGCTGCTTGGCAAAAGTGGTTTTGCTTTGTTCACATAATTATCTCCTTTCCAGATGCTCCAAACAATCTCTTTTTAAATCATTTAATCTCCTTTACCCAAAACACAAATACGTAGACATCTTTATTACTAAACATAATTGCAAATTTGAAGATATAAATTATTTCTGTGACTCCCTGAAGTTCTCTTTTATTCATTGCATCTGTTTACCTAAACTTTTTCATTGTGATGCCAGCTAAAGGATGTAAAATTACCTAGTATTTGAAACGATGGTATTGTGGAAATTAAGTAGGAATCAGTGGACCCCTAAGTGTCCCAACTTCCAATACAAGAAACATAATCCACTTTAAGAAAATTATTGTTGCATTTCATATGACAATTATTCTCACCTGTGGCTTTAGAAAATTATTTGCACCTGTGGCTTTAACTCTTATTGTAAGCACATATCCAAAAGCAATCTTCGTTTTTGTTCTGAACATAGTTCTATTTCTCTCATTTATCCATTTTCATTTTGTACTGTCTAACAGGTGATATTAAATTGTAGTCATATGTTTTCTTCATGTAAATCTCTGTCTGTGCATGTCTTGTCACACAGTGCTTTGTTGGACTTAAGGATTTGCCATTTGATATGCTAGAAAGATCATTTTAATGTGAGGAAAAAGACATGTGCTGGAGATGCTTCCATTCATAGTCCATTTTCTAAAGTTTGTACAGAAAGATTCCCTATGTTGGGCATGCATTTTTGTCCAGTGAATTTTGGTAACTAAATTTTATTCTTCTCTTTAGGAAGTATGGAGTACCTAAATATCATTTAACTTTTCACCCTAACATTTCTAATTAGTAAGATGACAATAATACCCAAAGGATAATTTTTGGGTAAAGACTCACGCATAGGATGAACAAAATCCTGTAAAGCATTATTAAAGCAAACTGATGTGTTGACTGTATCAAGGTATGAACATGGAAACATTGCTGCCTATGCTTTATTATATTTCTCTTCATTCATATAATTACAGTGTACTATTCAGAGGGAAGCAATATTCTTATATCAGTTAAAGTGGAAAATAAAATTGTTTGTATGTTCTCACTTTTTACATTAACCTTCTTGTAATATATCCTTTCCTTAAGATATTCTTTAAAATAACAAGGCTAAAAATGTAAAAATTTACCATCTAACATATGAACACTGTGGAGTTTGAGTCATTAGTTTCATCAGCAATAAAAAGTGATGTAATATCATAAGATGCTCAGTGAATAATAATTTATATCAGTTAGGCATACAGGTAAACAGGAATGTAAACTAGTACAAGCACTACAGAAGTCAGTGTAGAGATTTCACAACACCAAAAAGTAGAAATTCCATTTGATCGCACTACTCTACTTCTAGGTATCTTCCCAAAAGTTTTAGTGACATCACATTTCAGAAATATGTGCTTGCTGTGTATACAGCAGCACAATTTATAACAGCTGAATCTTAGAAGTAGATTATATGTCCATCAACAAGAATGGATAAAGAAAAATTAGCACATATATCCACTGGTGTATTAGTATACCATAAATAAAGATAAAATTGCAGCATCTGTACACAAATGGACACAACTTGAGAATGTAATGCTAAGTGAAATGTCAGAGATGTAAGCTTAAATATCACATGGATTCTCTTATATGAATTTTTTTATTTAAAGAAAAAAAGCAAAACATAAAAAGGGTAGAGATAATACATAATTTCAAAAAAGTAAGAAATCAATAGTTGAGAAACACATATCTTTTAGAAATAGTTGTTCAAGTTACAAAAGTAGAGCACACAAAGTGGACATTCAAATAGCAAGACTGAAAACAGTTCTATTCAAGTATTCAACAAAAACTTAGTAATATGGTTATCAATCCTACACAATTAAATATACATGCAGTTATATCCTTGAGAGCACTTTATTTTCCTCTATTTTTTACAATAGCAATTACACATTTTGGGTTTTATTGCTCCTACTTATTACTTTTTTACACCAGAGACACAATGTGTTATTTATAAATATGATTCTTATTTATTTCACCAATGGTGATAGACTCAAGTTGTCTCCATTTGCCTATGAAAGCCTCAGGATCATCCTTTTTATAGCTGAGTAATATTCCATTGTAGAAAAATACCACATCTTTTTCATCCACTCTGTGGTTGATGGGCATCTTGGTTATTTCGAAGATGTAGCTATTACAAATTGTGCTGCTATGAACATGGGTGAAAATATATCACTGTGATATGACTTTTTCAATTTTTCTGGGAAAATACCCACAAAGGGAATAGTGGGTTGAATGGAACTTCCAATCCCAGTCTTTTGAGAATTCTCCATACTGATTTCCACAGTGGTTGCACCAGTATGCACTCCCACCAACAGTGTAGCAGGGTTTCTTTTACCTGAAGCCTCGCCAACATTTGTTATCATTTGATTTATTGATGACAGCTATTCTTTCTGGAGTGAGATGAAATCTCAGTGCTGTTTTAATTTGCATTTCTCAAATGATCAGTGATGGCGAACATGTCTTGATGTACTTATTTGCCATTTGTATATATCTTCTTCTGAGAACTGTGTGTTCATCTCTGATGCCCATTTTTGGAAAAGGACTTTGAATTTGGGGAGCTTGATGTTGTTCAATTCTTTAATTGTTCTGGATATAAGTCCTTCGTCTGACGGTTGTTGGCTAAAATTCTTTCCCATTATGTGGGTTTTATTTTCACTCTGTTGGTGATTTCTTTGGAAGTGCAGAAACTTTTCCATAACATGAGATCTCAGTTGTTGATTCTTTGAAGTGTTTCCCATGCAGTTTGTGTTTTGTTCATGAATTCTCTGTCCATCCCTATGTCTCCAAGGCTTCTACCTACCTTGTCTTCCAGTAGATTTAGTGTCTCTGTTTTAATATTTAGGTCTTTGATCCATTTTGACTTTAGTTTTGTGCATAGTGATAGGCATGGATCTAGTTTCAGTCTTCGTCATGTAGAGAGCTGATTTTTCCAACACTATTTATTAAAGAGGCTATCCTTCTTCCAGTGAACATGTTTAGCCCCCTTGTCAAATATCAAGTGGATGAGTGTGTTTGTAGTTGTGCTTGCATCTTCTCATCTCTTCCATTGATCCTCAGGTCTATTTCTTTCCCAGTATTGTGTGGGTTTTATTACTGTGGCTTTGTAGTACAGTTTCAAGTGAGGAGTCGCCAGCAGCCTTCTCCCTGTCACTCCGGTTAGTACTGAATCACATGACCGGGGGTGGGGAGGTGCAGAGCACATTCGTGTTTTAAGCCTTGTAAAGGGGAGAATGTGCAGGTCGGTCCAACTTACAGGGACTGAAAAGAGAAGGAGAAAGACATCCATGCTGATCCTAAGCAGAAAGAAAAGCAAAAAAAAAAAAAAAAAAGCATGAAAATGTGCACCCTAGTAATGCCAAATGCTGCAATCTCATCATGCTGGCTGAGGCTCACAATTGTGAGGAGGTGCGGGGCTCCACAGCAAGACCCTGTATATAACACAGAGAAAGAGAAGTGTCAGTGTGGCACATATCCCAGGGCCTGCCATGCTGGTGAGCTGTAGGTGTTGACTTGACCAAAGGTTCCAGATATTGATTTGTTACCAAAGTGTTTTTGTATTAAATTAAGGTGTAAATTATTAAGCTGAGTAAAGGTTATTGCCCTGTGTAGGAGCGCATGATCCTGTTGATGAAGATTATCTTGCTTGACTGCCAGCAAAACACAACAGCTAAGATTCTGTCTTTGTATGTAAATGGAGGCTTGAGATTCTGCTTGGTCTCAAGCCCAATGACCCTAAGCAGATCTGTGCAAACAGCAATTGTGACACATTTGTAATTATACTGGAACTCAAACATTTGCTCTCCTGGAACATTTTATTTCATGCAATGAGCATTGCATACTATAATAAACAGTTATATTACATATAATAACTATTATAACCTAAGGATGAGAAAAATATTGGGAGAATTACAAGTAATTTTTAATATAATTTTTTTCTTATGTGTCAGTTTCCCAAAGAGGATACAAGTAGATGGATGGAAGGTGGTGGGGTGGTGGAGAAAGGGAGAAAGGGATGTTTGCTGATAGGGAGACACATAGATTGATATAGATATGTAGATGATTTTCCTACTTTAATCATTACAGAAACACTATGAATTTTCTGTTGTGATTGTGATAGCATAAGTCAAGATAGTAAATATTAGATGACAAAAATTCATACAGTTCACTTAGGTGAAGCTAACACTGAAGCCAAAATGTTGTGAATTGTAGAGCAATGCTTTTTACATGTTTCTAAATAAATTATTCAATTCAAAATATGCTCAATAGTGAGACAATTCCACTGTATTCCAGTAACACTGCATCTGGCTGACATTCTCTGAGGTAAGCAGATCAGAGAAAACATCTTGAAAAAATGCTCAGCATTATGATCAGCCTCATGCTTTCCTGTGCCCATGGCACAGAATGATTTTAGTGATTACATGAGGTAAACAAAACCCTTGGCATTGGTACCATCATAGTATTTATTACAAAAATGAAGGATTAAGTCAGAAATGTTTTAAAAATCCCTTATTGACCCCAGGGCAATACCAACATAATAACTGGATATTTTGCTTGTTTATTAATTTTATACATTTTTGTGTCCTTCATCCATGGCAAGATAAGATTTCTTGTTTTCTGAGGTACTTTTCAAATTCCTTTAATTCTTGGAAACAGTTTGAATTTCTAAAAGCCATGCTTGAAAGTTCAGACTGAACCCCATGAGTTTTTCTAAAACATAAGTGGTTAGCCACTAATTGCTTTTATGTGCTCATAATAATCACTGTAGTGATGCCATAGTAATATTGTTTTGATAAGTTAACTTACAACCATTGTTTGTTTTTTAACCAACATTATATAGACAGCTAACTTATATTAACTGAGCTCTTATTTTAGTCCAAAATTGAGACAGGAGCCATAGAGATTGGCACAATTGGTGTATTAATTTAGTATGTCTGTTTGGGTACTTTACAAAATATCCTACTTTCATTACTGTAAAAAAATACTCAAACTGATATCGATGACACTTGTGCTACTATGAACATTAGAATCCTAGCCTTTGTAGGCCTTTGTTATTCCTCATCTTCCCCAAAATGTTTTTCAATTTCTTATAAGAGAACAAAATTTCTAGTAAAGGTGTGCCTGCCAGTTTCCATGGAGTTTTTCTCCACTTTTGAAGATACAAAATGATTTATCTTCTCATCACAGCAAGAGATTTTTGTGTCACCATCTATAACACTTTACTGAACGTAGTTGTGATGTCAGAAGGAGTGTATGTATGGTTTAATGTTTAGTTACATCACAGAGGTAACCTGAGCTCTTTGTTTGTGTCATGCAATACTGTACCACACTGCTCTTAATGATTTTCCTGGGACACCCCCCGCCCTCTTTGCATAAGCTCTTTTGCATGGGCACATTGGCTAAGGAATGACTTCTCTCCTACTTTTTCATTCTTACCTGAATTTTAAAATTCTTATCTGAGTCTTAAAATTACCTGAGTCTTAAAGTTCTTTTCTAACTGTCTGCCAGTGTTGGCAAGCCAGCAAAATATCTTTGATTTGTAAAAAGAGAGACTTTAGAACAATAGTGCATTATGGAAGTGAGGAAAGGCCTGCTTTGATAAAAGAGGGGAAGAGATCTTCCATGGATTAGATCAAAACCATTAGTATTCACAGGCTAGAGGGACAAAACATTTTAAAGATTCAACCAGCTCATCATTTATTTGAGAAACCCTCCAGGGAATTAGACAGAGTCCTGACAAACCTGTGCCTCCCTCAGAATAATTCAAAGATTGAGAAAGATTGAGCTCTGTCCTTCTGAATTGTTCCAGTTGTTCTTTCTCTTGCTATCTAACATAGGTTAGAACCCTCTACAACAGTCCAAGAGCAAAATGGTCAAGAAGTCAGAAGTTACTTCCTAAATACCACGAAAATTCTATGCAAGATGTCAGTTTGTCTTTCTATGATGGATTCTCAAACTCCTGTGACAAATATGGCACATCAGTACTCTTGGAATGTCCTATTGGTGATCTTGTCCTCAGGTCTGGGTTTGCATTTTACTTTTCAGCTTTATAGATGACATATTAATATACATTTTATACCTTTCAGATACAGACCATGATGAGTTTATGCCTGTGTACAATGTAAAATCATTACTACAGTTGGAGATTTCTGTTATTTGTGTAGTGAAATCACTAAGACTGACTTTAAGTAAATAAGAAGAATTTAACGTTTTCATTTATTATAATCATCAGAATATATGATGGTTCTCCAAAATTTATCATCAAATAGAGCCGTTTGCTCTATTTGACCGGTGTCATCTTTTTCTTCTTCCCTCTGTCCCTCCTACAATTACTATTCTACTTTATATTAATGTGAACTTCATTATCATTTTTTAGATTGCACTAGTAAATGTGTTCATATAGTGTTTCTTTTCCTGTGTCTGCTTTGTCTTTCTTTGTTTTCCAATGATACTTTATGATTTAATTTTATTAACATATTTGCAAGATTAGAGGACTTATATTTGGATCAGTATAAATTATTATTATTATTTTTTATTTAAGGAGAAAAGAAAAAAACAGTGAAAGGGTACAAGTTATACAGATTTACAGAAGAAAAAAATGAACAGTAGGAAATCATTAGTTAATGGATTACATATTGCCATCTTAAAAATAATTGTTCAAGTCACAAAATTAAAGCTTGTAGAGTGGACATTCCAACAATGATACTGCAAACAGTTCTGTTCAATGATCCAATAAAACTCTGTGATATCATTTTCTATCTTATACACTTAAATATACATGCAGTTATATAGTTTAGAGTACTTTCTTTTCCTCTCTTTTGTACAATGACTATTACACATTTTGGGTTTCATTGCTCCCACGGTTCTTATTGCTTTTTTGGAAGAGAGTAAAACCAAATGAGACATAACAGAACAGAATCGGTCAAGTCAAAAGGGTGGACATAATAGATAATATAAAAACATAATACAAGGTGATCAACAATGGTTACCATAATGCCTCCCGCTATCTCTAATAGAATTGCCTATATCATTAGTTATAATACAATTGAACAAAACAGTAAAGAACAAAACCGACAAAACCAAAACATTGGAGACATTGTAGGTCTTCAAAAGTAGATAAAAGTCAACGAGAATGGGCGTTATAATGCATCTCATTATCTTCACAGCTGATGCCTAAACTTTCGAACTTGGTACTATCCAGCAAAACAGAATAGGGGAACATCAGTCAAAAACCAGATGGTGAGAGTAATACAGGGCTTCAAATCGAGATAATCGAAAGTCAAAGTGGGTTACTATATTATATCCTGCTATTTTTTTCCCTTTAATTAAACGGATAAAAATGAAAAAGTAAATAATGGAGTGGAGATTGAGAAAAAAGAGGGCATAAGAGCGAAACAGCGCAGATCAAAACATAACCATTTAAGCAGAATAGTGTTTCACCACCAGATAATTCCGACCCAAAAGTAGTTACCATATTGACTCTTTCCTTGAAGTCCTTGAGTACAACTTTGTATATTGTAGCATTAAGTATATCAAAACAATGTAAAACCATTTAAGAGAATGACAGCATTACAGAGTATTTAGAATCGACTAACAGAAAATGAACAATGGTTTCTGTATATTCTCCTTGTCTTTAAAAGGTTTTTGCTTATACTATCGTACATAATAAAATCCAATAAGATACAACCTGTTTAGACCATTGGAGACAGAAGAACAAAAGCTAGATGAGACTTCAAAACAAGATGATACTAAATCAGTATTACCTATTAAGATGTCATTTTCTCCAAAATAGCTGTTCCTATCATCCAATCTTCTCTGTCTCATTTCTGTTGAGCTCTTTTTCTGTCAGTAGCTGTCAGTTTGTCTTTTCATTTTGTTCTCTGCTCCATTCGTTGTGGCCTCCCCACCACCATATCTGGGTTGTTTGTATTTTTCTTTTTTTAGAATATCCTGCAATACTTTCTGTAGGGTTGAATTGGTGGTTGCAAATTCCCCCAGTTCCTCTTTATCCTGGAAGCACCTCGTTTTTCCATCAATTTCCAGGAACAGTTGTGCAGGATATCTCAATCTTGGCTGAGATTATTATCTTTCAAAGCTTGAATTATTTCCCCCCATGCTCTTCATGATTTGATGGTTTGTGCAGAGAAATCTGCTGTAATTCTGATGGGTGTTCCCTTGTAAGTGGTCTGTTTCTTGTCTCTTACAGCTTTTAATATTCTGTTCTTGTGTTGAATTTCTGGAATTTTTATTATTATATGCCTGGGTGTTTCTCTGTTAGGGTTGTAGGTAGCTGGGGTCCTGTATGCCTCATACATCTGAGTATCTTTACCTTTTGCTAAATTAGGAAAATTCTCCTGGATTATTTCTGTGAGTAGCTTTTGTAGTTCACTTGTTTGTGTCCCTACTTCTTCTTTTATGTTCTTAATCCTTAAGTTATGGCTCCTCTTATCATCTTCTTGTCTTTGTTTTATTGCTGTTTGTTTCTTTGTTATTTTTAAGAAGTTTTTCATTTCATTCTCCCATATTACAAGTCTGCCCTCCAGTTCAGATAGTCTGTCCTTAGTTTCTTTCAAGCTGTTATGCCAGTCTTGGATAGACTTCTTAATTTCTTGATAGTCCCTTTGAACCTGCTTCACATACTCAATGCTTTCTCTGTTTTCTCCATCAAGCAATTCTCTCCTCTTTTTCTGTTCTTCCATTCCACCATCTGTTTTTTCCTGGGTGGTGCTTAGCATTGCTCTAACTATTCTGCATACTTCTAGCTTCAGGTCATTGATAACTTCATTCCTGAATTGGTCTATGAGGCTCTCTATATGGCACTTAATGTATATTGGTGCGGTGTCCACTATTGCCTGATTCTCAGGATTGGGGGCCGAGGAGCCTTTCTTGTTGCTTCCCTTCCCCATATTTTCTGTTCCTTATTAAATGCAAGCTTACATAGGAGGCCCGGCTTCCCTGCCTGTCAGCCACAGCCTGATCAAATTGCGCTGGCTAGGTGTTCCCGCCCACCGCTTCGCACCAGGGAGTTGCGGAGGAGGCAGCCTATGTGGGAGTTAGTCGCTCCTCCGGGCCACCGTCAGGCTCTGGGATCTGGGTTGGGCTAGCCTACTGAGTCCGCCCGCAGCGTCACGCAGGCCAGGCACTTTTCACCAATCCCGTCCGAGAAGGGAATGTGTGGCTGGAGTTGCCACCGCGCCCTGCTCTTACAGGACTGCCCGAGCCCAGAAAGTCCTCCGCTGGAGTCAAACTGTGGTAGGGGGTCAGTTTCTCTCACTCACCTCGCCACCAGTCAGTTTTCGTTTACGCCTCCTTGTCCGTCCTGTTTTTGACTCTGTTCGCAGACTCTCGTTCCCAGAGTTTCTGCGCATCTCTCCTTGCCGAGCGGCTGTGGAGGCAGCCAGCCGCCGGGCGGCGGGAAACCCAAATCGCGGTTTCCAATGGCACGGGGTCCAGCCTCCACACCGAGTCTTTTCTGTTCCTATTTTAGCGCCAGGACTGCATTCCAAGTTGGTTTCTCTCAGCCCAGTTTGTTCCTGAGTCAGCAGAGCATATCTCTACTGGCTCATGTCTCCTTAGTCCGCATCATTCCTGACTTCTGAGCCGAGCCTTTCAGAGAGACTCCGGTAGTTGCTGTTATCTGTCCGCCATGTTCTCCCGGAAGTCAGTATAAATTATTTAAATAAGGTAAGTCAGTGTTTCAAAGGGATTTTATGGTTCTTTTGTATTAAATGAAAAAAGGTCAAAGCATGTTCCTTTACTTATACATCTCAGGACACACTTGTGTAGGAAAAGATAATCGTGCAGCACTTATTTAACACCTATCAACTCTTGCTGAATTTTCACTTTTATTTTTCTATTTTCTTGCAGCCACTGTGTTTTCTAAGTCAATCTATATATTTTATTATTAGTGTAGGTGGCTTAATGAGATATTTTCCCAAATGGTTTAGAAAGAAAATTTAGTTCTTGAAAAAATACCACATAGGAAGGCATTTCATTTAATTTCTGAGTGTGAAAGAAGGAATTCAGTGAAGACTCTCTAGATTCCAAACACCCGAGCTCAGAGAAGTGAACATAAGCCCTATGCCTTGCTCCTAGAAGTCAGAGTAATATTCCAAATTATCTCTCTCTCTCTTTTTCATCTTTCTCTGTCTCTCTCTCTCCCTTTCTTTGACATTTTCTGGTTGCTAAGGGAAAAAATAATTTCTTGAATATCAGTTTAAATTTATTCTCAATTCTCATCATATTTATTAATTTCACATGAAGTAATTCTTCAATTCTGAGCAACAGGTAAGAAAGTCTACCTTAGTTCAAATGCAATAACCATTAAATCTTTTTGTCTCTTTTTCCAAGGATCATCTTTTATAGTTCTGATCTTTTCCCTTTTACTTGGTTACCAATTTTAATGTAACTTTCAAAGCATCTACCATGTACCTAATATTGTATAGCAAGCTGACAAATTTTAAAAAGAATTTTATAAAATCTGGGAAAGTCCTGAGTATCTCATGTCATATACAGTGGAAGGGAGCCCTATCCATCATCTGCAGTGAACACAATTTACTGTGGTCCTTTGATTACAGCCTGGAGGTTCACCAACAGTGTAAGGAAAATGAAGTACTTCCTTGGTGTTGTGATTTGCCTAATACTTATAAAGTAAAAGTGCTGGAGTAGACTATGAAGAGTGAAAAATCAGGTAAATGCAAAAGAAAATGAAGGGGAGAAAGGGATAAACACATTACTGAGAAGAATAAAAATATTGAATAATATAAGTAATAACAAGGTTTTAAGTAAAACTAAATAAATACATGATAGATGGTGATTGCAGAGCAGCCTAAGATTGGTAGGGAGCACAGGAATGAGGGAGGTGAGGAGGAGGATCACTGTAGCTGAGCAGGGCCACTCTAGGAAAGCTAGCAGTGCTTCAGCTCCGTGACATCACAGTGAATGCTATGGCAAAACTTCCACAGATGCACTTCCGGGAGAACATGGCAGACAGATAGCAGCAGCTACGGAGGCTCTCTGAAAGATCCAGCTTAGAATCCAGGAATGGTGCAGAGTGAGGAATCCTAAGCAAGAGAGGAGATATGCCCTGCTGACCCAAGAACAAACTGGGCAGAGAGAAACCAACTGGGAATGCAATCCTGGCACTATAACAGGAACAGACAAAGCCTCAGCAGGGAAGCTGGAGCCCATGCCATTGGAAGCTGCGATTTGGGTTTCCTGCCACCACGGCTGCATCTGAATTGGCTTGGCACGGAGACAGACGTGCAAAAGCTCTGAGAAGGGAATCAGTGAATGGAGTTGAGAGCAGGATGGGCAGGGAGCTGTGCATCAACTTGCAGTGAGTGAGAGAAAGTGGGACTCTTCCATGATCTAGGAGGCTCCAACAGAGGACATTTTGGGACCAGGCAGACTTGCCGGAACAGGGCGCTGTAGTGACTTCAGTCACATATCCCCCTCTCAAGTGGTGCCTAGACTATGTGACGCTGCTGGCTGAGACCCAGTAGGCTAGCACAGCCCAGGTCCCAGTGCCTGAAGGTGACCTGGAGGGGTGGGCCCCACATAGGCTGCCTGGTCCATAACTCCCTGGTGCGCTACAGTGGGCAGGAACACCTAGCCACTGCAATTCAATCAGACTGTGGTCAACAGGGAAGGAAGCTGGGCCTCCTATCTATGCTTGCATATATAAGGAACAAAGAATATGGGAAGAGAGAGCAACAAGAAAGGTCCCTCAGCCCCCAATCCTGAGAAACAGGCAATAACGGACACTGCACCAATAGACATAAAACCCTATCTCCAGAGCCTCATAGACGAGTTTAGGAATGAAGTTATTAATGACCTGAAGCTAGAAATAAGCAGAATAGTTAGAGAAATGCTAAGCATCACTCAAGAAAAAACAGATGGTGGAATGGAAGAACAGAAAAAGAGGGGAGAATTGTTTGATGGAGAAAATAAAGAAAGCATAGAATACGTGAAGCAGGTTCAAAGAGATTACCAGGAAACTAAAAACTCTATCGGAAACTGGCATAACAGCTTGAAAGAAACTAAGGATAGACTATCTGAACTGGAGGCCAGATTTGTAATATGGGAGCATGAAATGAAAAACTTCTTAAAAATAACAAAGAAACAAACAGCAATAATACGAAGACTAGAAGATGATAAGAGGATCTATAACTTAAGAATTAAGAACATAAAAGAAGAAGTAGGGACACAAACAAATGAACCAAAAAAGCTACTCACAGAAATAATCCAGGAGAATTTCCCTAATTTAGCAAAAGGTAAAGATACTCAGATGTATGAAGCATTCAGGACCTCAGCCACCTACAACCCAAACAGAGCAACACCCAGGCATATAATAATTCAAATTCCAGAAATCCAATACAAGAACAGAATACTAAAAGCCGTCAGAGACAAGAAACAGATCACTTACAAGGGAACACCCATCAAAATTACAGCAGACTTCTTGGCACAAATCATCAAATCACAAAGAGCATGGGGGGAAATAATTCAAGCTTTGAAAGATAATAAACTCCAGCCAAGATTGAAATATCCTGTACAACTATCCCTGGAAATTAATGGAAAAACAAGGTGCTTCCAGGATAAAGAGGAACTAGGGGAATATGCAACCACCAGTTCAACTCTACAGAGAATACTGCAGGATATCCTAAAAAAGAAAAATATGAAGAATCCAGAAATAGTGGCAGAGAGGCCAAAATGAATGGAGCAGAAAACAAAATGAAGAAGACAAACTGACAACTAATGACAGAAAAAGAGCTCAACAGAAATGAGGCAGAGAAGACGGATGATAGGAACAGCTATTTTGGAGAAAACGACATCATAATAGGTAATGCTGATTTAGTATCATCTTGTTTTGAAGTCTCATCAAGCTTTTGCTCTTCTGTCTCCATTGGTCTTAGCATGTTGTATCTTACTGGATTTTATTATATGTGATAGTATAAACAAAAACTTTTATAGACAAGGAGATTATACAGAAACCGTGGTTCATTTTCTGTTAGTTGATTCTAAATACCCTGTAATACTGTCATTCTCTTGAATACTTTTATATTGTTTTGATATATATGATGCCACAGTATACGAAGTTATACTCAAAGATTTCAAGGAAAGAGACAATATGGTAACTACTTTTATGTTGGGATTATCTTGTGGTAAAACACTATTTTGCTTAAATGGTTATTTTTTTTTCTGTGCTGTTTTGTTATTATGCCCTCTTTTATCTCAATCTCCATTTTATTATTTACTTTTTTATTTTTATCCTTTTAATTAAGGGAAAATAAATAAAAATAGCAGGATATATTATAGTAACCCACTTTGATTTACTATTAACTTGATTTGAAGACCTGTATTGCTCTCACCATCTTGTTTTGATTGATGTTCCTCTATTCTGTTTTGCTTGATAGTACCAGGTTCGAAAGTATAGGCAACAGCTGTGAAGATAGTGGGATTCATTATGACGCCTATTCTGGTTGACTATTATCTACTTTTGAAGACCTGTAATGTCTGCAATGTTTTGGTTTTGTTGGTTTCATTCTTTAGTGTTTTGTTCAATTTTATTATAACTGATGATATAGGCAATTCTATTAGAGATAGCGGGAGGCATTATGGTAACCATTGTTGATCACCTGGTATTATGTTTTTACATTATATATTATGTCCACCCTTTTGATTTGACCAACTCTGTTCTGTTATGTCACATTTGGTTTTACTCTCTTCAAAAAAAAAGTAATAAGAACTGTGGGAGCAATACAACCCAAAATGTGTAATAGTCATTGTACAAAAGAGAGGAAAAGATAGTGCTCTAAATGATATAACTGCATGTATATTTAAGTGTATAAGATAGACAATGATATTACTGAGTTTTGTTGGATCATTTAACAGAACTGTTTGGTCTCACTGTTTGAATGTCCACTATATAAGCTTTAATTTTGTAACTTGAACAAATATTTCTAAGATGACAATATGTAATCCATTAACTAGTGATTTCCTACTGTTTATTTTTTTCTGAAATTCTGTATAACTTGTAAAAAAAAACTTCCACAGATGCAACAAGAGATGAGGAGGTGAGGACCAGATAGGGTAAGGAAATGAGATAAAGTAAGTGAGAAAATGTAAGTATGGAAGGCTGTACATGGACTAGGACTAAGGAGGGTGGTGATCAAAAGACACCAGACAAAGCTGAACTTGCCTTTGATGTCCTAATCTGTACCCATGTATCCCCTGCTACACACTGTGACCCACAATCTGGGTCTTAGATGTGTTTTAAAGGTGGGAAAACAATGCCAAGACAGACCTGCTAGTGCATGCCTGTAATTCCAGCTCTGAGGCAAGAGGATTTCTGTAAGTTCCAGGCCAGCCTGAGCTACTTAGTGAGTTCAAGGCCAGTCTCAAATACATAGAGAAAGCCTAAGTCAACATCCATGCACACACATAAAGAGAAAGATATGGCAGTATTCAGGAATCTAACAATTGTTGAAGTTGGAATTTTCCCATTTCCTGGACACCAAAACTGTCAGAGTTGAGGTAAGTCTGTTAGTGTATGTCCTCATATAATTCATGTACCTTTGATTCATGTATAATCTTGACATTAATTTTAAGTCATTGATGGAAAAATGTGAGCTCAAATAATCAGACTAATATCAACTGCCTGAAATTGAAATTACAGATTCCTCATCTGACCAGTAATGCATTTTAAAATTTCAAATTGTAAAAATGTTTATTTTTCATTGATATTTTTTATTTAAAGGAAAAAAGAAAGAAAAAAAACCAAGACAAAACAGAAAAAAGGGTAGACGTAATACATAATTTTGAAGAAAATTATTGACACTAAGAAATTACTAGTTGATAAGTTACATATTGTCCTCTTAGAAATAGTTATTCAAGTTACAAAATCAAAGCATAAAGTGGACATGTATTTAAACATTCACAGTGCAAATTATTCTGTTCAATGAACTATTTAAAACTTAGTAATATGGTTGTCTATATTACACACTTAAACATACATACAGTTATATCCTTTAGAGCACTTTCCCTCCTTTTCACTTTCACAATATCTATTATACATTTTAGATCTTATTACTCTTTCAGTTTTTATTATTTTTTACACTAGAGAGATAATGTGATATTTACAAATGTGGGTCTTATTTATTTCACTTATGAGGATAGTCTCAAGATGCCTCAAGGCCTCAAGGCCATCCTTTTATATAGCTGAGTAATATTCCATTGTATAAAATACCACATCTTTTTCATCCACTCTACAGTTGACGGGCATTTTGGTTGTTTCCAAGATTTAGCTATTACATATTGTGCTGCTATGAACATGGGTGCACATATATCTCTGTGAAATGATCTTTTCAAGTTTTGGGAGTAAAATACCTCAGAGGGGAATAGCTGGATTGAAAGAAACTTCAAATCCTAGTTTTTTGAGAAATCTCCATAATGATTTCCACAGTGTCTGTATCAGTCTGGATTCCCACCAACAGTGGAGCAATGTTTCTTTATCCCCAGAGCCTTGCCAACATTTATTATCAGTTGATTTCTTTTATTTTTTTATTTAAAGAGAAAAAACCAAAGCAGTAAAGGGGTACAAGTCATACAGAATTTCAAGAAAAAAATATACAGTAAGAAATCACTAGTTAATAGATTACATATTGTCATCTTAGAAACAGTTGTCCAAATTACAAAATTAAAGCATACAATGTGGACATTCATACAGTGAGATTGCAGACAGTTCTGTTCAATGATCCACCAAAAACTCAGTTAGTATGGTTTTCTATCCTACACACTTAAACATACATGCAGTTATATCCTTTAGACCACTTTCTTTTCTTTTTTTATTTAAAAGGAAAA